TTTCTTGGATCCAGTCATTCATGTCCTCTGTATTAACTGATATCATGTGCTTTGTAATTGCAGCATCGTTGTTTTTGGAGTTGGCAAAATTGGGACCCAAGATTGACAGAATATAGCCATCTGTCCCTACAACGATCATTGGTTTTAGTAAGGGACGTTGCTTGTGCATGCTATAAGACTGGCGTTGAAACTTATAATCTGAACTCTTCTGGATAAATATGTACGTCCCGTCTAGGACTAGAATTGCAGACTTGTCATCATCATCACAGAATAGCTTTTTGGCAATCGGGGTTGTATGGTTTTCGACAAATTCATCATGAGTAATGTGATTAAAACCAACGTTTTGTGTGATGAAAGACTGCAGAGAATTTCTTGCACTGTGTATGCACCTTTGAATTTGGCATTTTTTCATTGAAAATATTGTGCCAAGGATTTTGTTAGGCAAACCTGTACGAAGCTTTGTCAACAATAATGCTAAACAAGTACGAGCAGAACGAACACTTGAATGACGAATTGAAGTAGCAAAGGTCGCTATATCTTGGAATTGGACTCTAGATACACCCATAAGATTGTAATAATCTTCATCAGTTAAAAAGGAAGAGTCCTCGAAATTCAATACTGATGTTCTCGACATTGCTTTACGGACATTCTCAAGCAAAGAAGCTATCTCCTTACGATTGAAGTAAGATGTTGTATATTTTGCTTTCAAATCTGCCAAGGATGCCTGAGAAAAATACTGACCATGTAAATGGGCAGAGCAGCAGCGTGCTTTAGAATTGACAAATAAAGCATTATGTATAAATGCTTGTGTTCTTGCATTTAAGGGAACCACACACAATCTAACTCTATGACTTTGCTTTTTACACACAACACAGTATTTGTGGGATGAATGTGCGGAAATTCAGCTGGATCGATTTTGGACTTTTAGAATCAGTTTTAAAAAATTCAGCTGCAACAAATTCACTTTCATCATCTTCAAGAATGTTGCTTGTTATATTTTGATTTGGATTTGGCTTCTTCAATGATCTGTAATAAGTTATCCCACACTTGCCACATAGAACATCAGTCTCAGCAATGTTTCTACCAGTTATTTTTGAGACATATTTTATAAGAGCTGGTAATTGAATTGGACGTCTATCTTTAACATGGTGTTTTCCACATAACGAGCATCTATATTCTTTTGGCATCTGCAAAAACAGGAATTTTGATTAACATGTTACAAATGTTACATTTGTAAAATACAGTATCCCAAGGAATACATTTTCTACTGCATAGAAAAATTATGGTATTTCATTAAATAAGTGTAATATACTTGTACGCGTAAGGCATGCAAAGTTACGTACAAAAAATGAAAGTAAAATAACAACAATAAATAATAATTTAAAAAAAATTAAGAAAAAAAAATTATTTAAAAAAAAAAGTTTCTCCGTTTCGCCCACTTGAACCCCGGTCCGCAGATTACTGAACGAACACTTAACCTATTACGCTAGTACAAGATATACAAATACTGCGTTAAAAAGATAGCAATAAATACTAAACAGTGTTTGTGTTGCTATGGAAAATGTTAACATACATGTATATCATTGATTATCGCTAGTACAGACAATTTTGAGCAAGGAAAATAGTTTAAATTTAAATAAGAAACGTTAACATGTCCTATTTGACTACTTTTTTTTATGTAACCCACAATATTTGCGTAAAATTCAACTGGACATGCTATATAAGCTACACACAAATATTCGTCGTCTGCAAACAAAATTCTGACAACCAAAAAATCAAAAAAGATATTAGATAGATCTAGCGATTTCTTGCAAATAACCAAGCAATAAACAAATTATCTTAAAGTAATTTTATTTTAGACTGGACACGCATTCTTTTCACTTGCACAGGTAGGTTACGGCTAAAACAGTATGACACTGCATTTCTGTCATGCCGTACCCTCAAAATTAAAGTTCATTTCGGCAGCATATCTTTGTATGTTTAACATATTAAAGGATATTTTTTCTCTTCGATAGAAATATATACTATAAATTCTAAGCAACAAAAAATTTGAACACTTCTAAGCATTAAAAAATTCACTTATCCTGGGTCTGAACTTGTCGAGATTGTTCGGAAAACCTGCATCTGTCCGCTTCCGGTTTCGTATTTCAGTATATCGGAGAAGTAAACACTTTGTTGTCGAAGTAATTTTAAAGAATTTAGTATGAGCGACCGTGTGTACCACAAATATTTTTACACAAGGTAAGTGTTTTTTATCAAGGAACCCGCTACTAAAAATGTTTGTAGTACACAGAGTCGCTCATATAAAAAAATTGTTTGAATCGAGGGAAAATATGTTTTTTCGCGCATTTTCACTAATATTTGGAAGAAAACTGCTACCCCCGGCACAAACTAACAAGCAACTGAAACATTTTATGCTATTTTTAGTAAGTTTAGGTTCTTATCAAGATTATTTATTTGTTTCCAGTCTCATTTCCAGATAATTTTTTAAGGAAATGGGAGGCCGTTGACAATAGACTGTCATATCTTGTTCTTTATTTCAAAATTTCAATTTGAAATTAGCCGCAATGATTGCAAAGGTATCTTTTACCAATATCTTTTTCATAAGCTATCAAACACAAATAGAAATAACGTAATATTTGTCAAAACATTGTTCACAAATAGTAAGATATTTATAAAATATTTCATACATATGTATAAAACTCCGTATATTTTCAGTATTTCATTTTGATATTTAGTAATTTACCTTCTTGATTTCAAACAATTTTCTGAGATTGATTATAAAATTGCAAAAATATGTTGTGAAACTGAATAATTAGTGAACTATTTACTTTTCCAATATCTTTGTCCCAGCTTCTTGATAAGTATTCCCTCTTTCAAAAATTGTCACATTCTGCTTACATTGACTTTTTCGAAATCTAATGCCAATTTAATATTTCTCAGAATGTTCATTTTGTTGACGTTAAGAAACACATTCGACTGCTGGGCTATTTTCATAATGAGATTGAGCAGATTGATTACGATGCATAAATATGCAAACTACGTAAGCAAACTACGGAAGTAATTTGTTTCCATCGTACTAAATCATATTTCTGTCGACTTGACCCATCATTGAATATATTATTAAAGTGATGGCTTGGGAAAATTTTACAACTTTCCAGCATAATTCAATCAACTACATTTCATTTTCTAATTATTGTAGACATACTTTGTAACCAACTTGAATATTTATCCTTCTCCACAGACCAATAAAATGGTTTGTTTTGAATTTTCTGTCATTCAACAACAAACCCACGAATGGCGAGTACATGGGTCTGTATAGAGGACTAGAAAGGGTTAGGAGGTCAATATATATATATATATATATATATATATATATATATATATATATATATATATATATATATATATATATATATATATATATATATATATATATATATAAGATTTGTTTCTGAATTTTGTGTTTAATTTTCATTTTAGATTTACTATAATTAAAATTATGCCATTAGATATATGTAATTTGGGGGTGTGTGCATTTTTCAAAAAAAAAAAAAGGAAATAAATTCTAAAAAGGATTGGGTTTTCAAAATTTTATACAGAGTAAGATTAAATCTTTGAAACGTTAAAACATAAAAATCGTACTTAATCGCAATGTTTTTTTGCGTTTGAACGAAAAACGTTTGATTTTTTAACAAAAGAGATTCATTTTTTAAATAAAAGTTTGAATACAAATGCAAACTATTACGTTTAAAAATGCTGTCGTTGAAATGCACATAATTTTATGATAAAAAAAACTTTTTGCGTTTAAACCCATAACATTTTGGTCTAAATGCTTGCGATTAATCGCAAAGTGTTTTGTGTTTGAACATTTTTATTGCGATCAAACAAAAAAGAATTTTTTTTGTTAGAAAAATACAAATTGTCTGATACTACCAGTAAAAGTTTTAACTGATTGATGTATAGTAAAAAAAACAGTATCGTTTTGTATAAATGCAAAACGCATCCTTAAATAGAAAGATCATATCGTTGAACACAAATATTTTGTATTTAAATTAAAATATTATAGACTAAAGATTATATCTATAATATAAGATAATATATACAGGGGTTCTTCATTGCCAGTCTTTTTTTTTTTCTTTTCATCTGGCCGCCACCGTAACCCAGTTGGTAGAACGCTTTCTCTGTGATCCAAATAATCACAACCTCGACTGACCTAAGTCCATTTTACTTAGGAAGCAAGTTCGTAGTTCCTTCACTAAGCGATCCGCACTATGAAGTTAATGTTACAGGTCTATCGGATGACATCGTAAAAAGGAGATTAAATATTAAGGTAAGATTTAGTAAGATGAACAACACTTGCTGTTCAATGACATTAAGTTTCGAGTCTAAATTTAAAAGCACATGCGAACGTCTCCATACCAGAGATAAAATGTACAATCAATTAATCTTTTTCATGTGTATGATTAAAAAAATTTAAAATTTTTCAAAAGATCCATATAAGATATGAATTCATAAAACAGAAAATGTGATGCTGTTTAAAATTGGTTTTACTTTGAAAAATAACCGAAAGCTGAATATTGGAAGACAATTCTGTTACACATTTTCTTCAGATTTAAAAAGATAATCCTTTTATTACAGTTTTGTCGCAATTTTGTCATGTCCCACATGTTGTGGTTAACAGTGCATTTCCAGTGTAGCCATGACCATCATTTTTGCGTTCACCAGTAACGATAAAATCAAATCGAGACCCATCTGAAGTTTTAACATCAATGACTCCACTTGGAACACTTAAGTACAAAACACTGTAAAGGGCTGTCCAAACGAGAACTGAAGAATGAAAAAGGCATCTGTCTACATCGATTTTCGATCCATTTATTTGAAGATTTCCTAAAGTATTGTTTTTAATCATAAAAGTAGCGAAGCTAAAATTAAATCCGTCCGATACGAAATTTATGTATTTTTTGAGATACTGACAGACAGAAAATTCAAAAAATAGGTTTTTCAAAACAATAGTCCTTGTTTTGAGTTTTTTAGTCGTATATTTGATATAACTTTTAACAGTCGTTGATATGCGTACAAGCGATTGGTATCTATGAATATTTGGCGGGACAATGAAAACATGGTCGAGTTTGTCAGCTGGTGGTACCATTTCTATAAGCATATTACAATATTCCATAATATCCAACACAATTGCACCTATTTCCCGTAAAGACAGCGATAGGATTTGAAGAATTAATAGTTGTTCCTGTCATGTCGGCTTTAATGCCTATTTGGAATGTTTGACAATTGTTCAAAATGATATAGAATATGTCACCTCTTCCATAGATTCTCTCTTGTAGTAATATTTTTACGTCATGATCTGCAGCAAACTTTATTGTAACAAGCGTGTTCTCTTTCAGAGAAGCAATGGTGAAATGACTTCCGCTGCCTGATTTGAAATTTGCCGGTGTCGCTGTTGATATAATGTAAAATGTTGAAAGGTTGTCGATTTAAAATACGGCTGTAGTATCTGAAGATGTTTGATAACTTTGGTGAGTCAATACAGATGACGGGACTGAGGTTTTGATGATAATAGCTTTATATTCAGGGGAAAAATAAGAAGGAACAAGAGAATAGTGAACATTTAACTTCTTTATTGTAATGTTCCCACGTCTACGACTAGATATGGATATCAGATTTGGACTTTGAGTCTCTGGCAGTGAGACTGTTAAATTGAAATCAGTTTCTGATGTTACAACGATTGTTCGGTTTGTTTTACTTCCATCGTCGTGACTTTGGATAAAGCTGACTAAAAAACTATATCCTCTGCTTCCTGCAACAGTTACATATAATATGTTTAGAAGAAAAAAAATTGTTAATAGTCACCAGGAAAAAATAGTACATTTCCCACCTAACTCCTTATTTCTATGGCTTGTTGATTTTAGTTCCTGGCCTCTGCAATGGTCGTTTGAAAATTCATCCTCAGCCAAAGCTTTACATTGTTGGTTTTCTGTAACACAAATAAGTGAATATCTATGTTTCAATATTATAAAGGGAAATAATATTTTTCATAAATTAAATAAAGAAGTCCAGGATATTTTTAACAACCCCCCCCCCCAAAAAAAAAAAATTTAACGAAATGTCTTTTAATCAAAATATTTAATCAGGGAATGAATTCTTAGTTTCTTCAAATTAAACTCCAGCACTAATATGAGTCATTTTAAATTGTATTTTTGGATTGTTTTAATTGCTTTTGTTACTATACTGTAAGTTCATGTTTTCATTGAAATCATTATCTTAAAAACGATGATTTAGTATGTGTTTTTTTTTAGAAATTCATTCGAAAGTTTCAAAACAAAGATCTTTGCATCACAATAAACAAATTCTTCAATAAAACGATTCTCATAGCCAGGCAACTTTCTTACTCCACACCAGGTGAGGCTTATTATAGCCCCAAGGGTTGAAAACCTTACTTTCATGTACCGCGTCATGTTGATTTAAAGTGTACACTTGTAAATTAGCTTGTTTTCCTGTATATATTTTAATTAAATTCTTTTCGATTTTAGCCCCATCCAACCCCAGTGTTAATCTTTTTCAACTACATTGAATCAATGTTTAAGAATAGTTTCGTATCAATTTGAATTATTTTTGCTCTCTATGTCAGTAGTGTAAATTATTCGTGGTTCAATATAATACAACACGATTTTTGTATCTCCTCATAATATACAAAAAAAGATCATCATAATTATCATGATCATGAGATTTTGAAGCTGTTTTGAAATGTTGAAGTAGATTAAAACACCAAAGAAATGTCCTATTGGTAATGCTTGTAATTGCCAATTGGATAGTTGTACTAAAGTATATTATTCTCTGGTACATTCCACAAATACATGATAGGGTACCTTAATTGTTTGAGAGGGAAACTTGTTAAAGTAGCCATACTTGAGTTACTCTTTCTTTTGAAAAAAAGAATTGTAAACTATTGGAGAATGGATCTACTGATCTTAATAAGATATAGTAATGACAGAGTGGATTACCTTCCGGTTTACTTTTCTTGAGACCATATAACGCACTTGTAGTGGCGAGTCCGCTTATGAGAATGATGAATAGAAGAACCACCAAAATAAGCTTCCAAAATCTCCTTGAAGTGGTTGGATACTCAATGCTAATTTGTTCTTCCTTCCTTGTTTCTGTTGTCTGACTGCAAAGCTTTGTTATCAATAATAACTTGATAAGGATAAGGGAACTCAAAAAACATATTTAAAAAAACGTAGTTAACATTGAGTAAAATAGATTCAAAAAAATGAAAAAGTTTTGTTTCCCAGGATTTACCTCTACATATCTGTGATTGTCTTCCTTTTCGAAAGAAGAAATAAAATACATGATTTATTTAAGGAATGAAGCTTATTTCAACTTATGTTATACGATATAACATAACTTGGGAACAGTTTACGCTTCATAAACCGTGAAGCAGGTTATAAAAAAGCGTAAACTGCCCCAAGTTATGTTATACCTGTATTGTATAACATAAGTTGAAACTAGTGCTAATTGTAACGGGGACCGTTACAGATGTTCCCTAAACGCTCCCCAACTCCCTTCTGGTGCCATATTCCCTGTAAGCTTCATTAAATAAGACAGACTCTATGCATCTGAGATTTTAACAACATTTACGAAGAAGTGTACCAAAATCACTTTAGCATTGCACGCGTGCACATGTGAATGCATTTGCGTCATGACCATATCATCTTGTCTAAACAATCTATATTTTTAATACACTGAATATTAAAGTATTCAATTCAAAATTATTAAAAAAAAATACGCTCATTCAAGTGTATGTTTGATTTTACTCATTTCACGTGCACGCACGTGCATACATGAGCATGGTGACCATACCTTCTTGTAGAAGTCCATTACATCTATCTATGTTTTAAATTCCACCCCGTTTGGGTGAATACTAAGGGAGTTATAGCTGTTTAAAGTTTCAGCCAATCAGATTGCAGCACATGTACACGCACGTGTATGCATGTGTATGGTGACCATACCTACTTGTAGAAGTCCATTATATCTATCTATGTTCCAAATCCCATCCTGTTTGGTTGAAAACCAAGGGAGTTATAGCTGTTTAAAGTTTCAGCCAATCAGATTGCAGCGCACGTGCATGCACGTGTTTTCATGATAATTGTTTTATTTCATGTTGTAGGATATCCTAATGCATGGCTATGTTCAAAATTTCAAAGGATTTCGTCAAAAAACAAGAAAGATATTGAGACTTTAGTTGCAGCCAATCGGAGCGAAGTGCACGTGCATGCGCGTGAGATCTCGCTATTTTCACCATGTCGTCATGTCTATACTTCTAATATATCCTCATATTATGAGTTTCAAAGCATTTCATCCAAAAATAGAACAGTTGTGGCTATATCTATTATATTGGTCATTTCACGTGTTGCACGTGCACGCTCTTGCAAGCACGTGCACGCAAAATGACCTTGATTCCGCAAATCTACATAACATGTCTACTAACCCTAAAAAGGTTTTACCTACATCAGACGAACAGTTTACAAGATCATTCCCGGACAAAAAAGTTCCAGGAAGAAGAAGAAGAAGAAGAAGAAAAATAATAAGAAGAAGAAGAAACAGAGTAAAAACAATATGTTCCCCAACTTCGTTTGGGGAACATAATAAGCTTCATTCCTAATAATTTAATTTCAATGTAGACAATAATACAATTTTTTTTCTATTTTTTCCTTCGAAAAAGGCTTCAAATATAGCACACTTTTAAAGTTATCGTCAAGCGGGTTTATACAATTTTTACGTAACTCATCGTGACGAAGGCAAGTTATGTTATACAAAATGGATAAAACCGTTTATCCAATCAAAGACCTAAACCTATCGTAAACCTAACATTTACATCGCCATTTATATGCATGCAGAAATATATATGTCATTATATTAACCCATATTCAAGCAACGTCAAGGAATATGGGATTTTATCTCAGTGATACATGTGCATTGCCCATCTTAGATTGAGTATGTGCTTCGCGGAATAATCCGGGTTGTGCATACCAGTTTTTTTTGTTAGAAATGCCACAGTGACTATATATACTTGGTACCTGACGTAATTTCCTCCTTTCTAAGTAAGCAGACGAGCACATGGGTAGGTTGGTTCAGGCGATACAATCATTTCAATTTTGGATCGATATTTTAAAAAAGAAAATACGTTTTAGCCTGACAGTGTCTTCTCAAATAGACCACGTTTGTTCATTTTCACTGAAAGATTAAATCCGATTACGCATACTTTCATCGGATTGAAGGTAAACTAAGCCTATATATAGCGGTCTAATTTTCAAATGAATATTGCTATGAATTTAAAGCGGCTTTTACAAACGTATTATCACAGACCTGTATAAAAACTTCAAACTAGTACTTCAATCTTCATCACGAAAATGTAATTTCGGTGCCCAGAATAACAAATTTAACTTAGAATGTAATGAAGCAAGGAAGCTTGGAATGTCGACCTACAGTACAACACAAAATGCCGACCGTGGGGAAATAACTCTTGCTTAAATCACTTCGATGAAAAACCATACATTCAAATAATTTATCCAATCACTGCCTCGTGTTGGGGTGGTCACGAGTAAGTGGCCCTCTTAGGCTGAAATAATAACGTCTTATGCTAACTAGATTATACAAGCCGTTCTTTAGAAATATATAATTATACATTGATTCATAAAATAAATTCCATTTAACAAATTGCTATAAATAGACACAAGTTTATTTATTTATTTACAGGTGACTCTCGATCTCTCGAAGTTCACGGGACCGCAAGAAAAGTTCGAGAGATCGAGGGGTTCGAGAGATAGAAAGTAAAAAAAATCCGGAATTTTCAGTTCCGATCACCGAAGTTCTACTTTTATAGATACCGGAAGTATATGTAAATAAAGTCATTGCACGCTTTCAATCGTATTTGACAGGTAGTTTACGTGATATAAACAACAATGATTGCATTTTGAACAAATAAAACTAATTTCTAAAGTTTTAGTATTTATTTATTGTTATTTCATGATTACGTGAAACCCGAATAGCAATTGTCGGTTTGGCTATTCCGCGGCTTGATCGGGACCTTCACCAATGTTCAACAGATTTTTCTTAATCGGTATTCAGTCCTTGAGAAAGGAATTTTCTTGTGCAATATTTGCCATGCTGGAATTATTTAGACTCTATTTAATCATAATAAAAGTTCATAGTCTATCGGAACTTACTGAAACGAACATCTATAAATTAAATTTCTAAAAATTATCGTCTCAGTTTCAATTCGAAATAAGTTGTTTATAATCTACCTTGTAATTAATAACCAACTAATTATATAAAAACACGGACAACCCACAGGTGTAGTGTCATCTATGTAAACACCCAATTAACACCTCCATGCCAGCCCATGGCTTTCATTGTTTCCAGGTAAGTCCAGACTGCATCAATTTTACGCTTGATTGGCATTATAAATGCACAATCAAAACTTCGAGCGATAGAGAGTAAAATTCAATGAAATATGTGTAACGGGACCCAGATTTTGGTTCGAGAGATAGAGAACTTCGAGAGAGAGAAGTTCGAGAGTTCAGGAGTAAATTTGCTTCATTATATAGAGGAAAAAAACGGCACCGGAGGTTCACTTCGAGCGATAGAGAACTTCGAGAGATCGGAGTTCGAGCCATCGAGAGTCACCTGTATTTTTTTTTTTTTTTTTGTTACATAATTTCAATCAAAATCTTGGAAACGTACAAGCAAAGACAAGGGACATAATTCAAAAGGCCAACTTTAGGTAAGGGGTGGTCACGAATAAGTGGCCTTCTTAGGGTGAAATAATAAAATAAAAATAAGAAATAATAATAGGAAAACTTATCCTTATGTTCACAGGTGCATGAAATATAGCATGTGTCAGTCTAACACTTGCATAAGGTCAACGCAAGTGCATACGAATGCAAAGTCATTTAAATCTCATAACCAACGCCTTTACTGTCTTGGATTAAAAAATTCTTCTTGACTAAAACGAACAGTCGTGCCATGCTTTGGAAAAGGGTTTTAAATCAGAATTTAAGTTATTAATTTATAAACGGGGACAAAAACTAACATACTTCGTATCGGAATATCAAAATGGGGACGTTTTTCCGGGCAAGTGAGAGTAAGGGGTAGTTTAGTCAGGGGTATCAATTTTGACCCGATTACAAACGCCCATCCCTCAAAATATCCCCAACCGGGACGATGCTCAAGATTATGGTTGCTCGCGTTCGATCACTTATTTTACCGACCCACTTCCATTTAACATTAACGCACACATAAACCCAAGGGAAACAACAGTTAACACTGAATAACTTTCGACACAGTTGATGCCATGTTTCGAAGACTTGCAGGACCATTTTCTCTAAAAATCTAAAACAGATAGGGCAAACGTATATACTGGTATTTATACATAAGGATGTAAGCTGTTAGGACTTTATTTTAGGGAAGCCTAATCCATATACAAAATACTAGTATTTCCATATTATAATATGTTATACATTCTCTACATTAGTGTAATTGGTCGTTTACAAAATAAGCAGGTTAAGTTACAACACATCACTGATCTATATTAAAATATCAACATTTTTGCAGGATGGGCAGACACTTGCCTGTCTGCTCAAATAATTACACATTTGTACCTCTTCACATAGATAAAGTCCAGGGATTCACAACATGTTTAGGGTTTTTGGAGCTAGAAATAGACAGATTATGTAAATTCGATTCACAGCAACAAAACGCAAATCTTATCAGAACACCCCCCCCCCAAGGGCCATTCCGGGTAGCCGTGCATCAACCAGGCCTTACTGTAATATGCTTGGCATTAAATTTTAAACCTTGTCAATAGGTTACTAAAGCTAGATAACTAAACATTCATATGTGATTATTTCCAACTAACTTCAATGGGGTTATTTGAAGAATGATACTGAAGGGAGTTCTCGTGATACTCTACAGCTTTTCACTGACATCGGGGGTGAATCCATTAGAATATGACTCCCTTTACATGTTAAAATAAATACCGAACATCCTGGAGATTTGGTTAAAAAAAAAAAAAAAAAAAAAATTATAATAATAATAAAAAAAAATGTAGGTTTTAGGCTCAAAGTATATTCGTAACGCCATATATAGCCACAATGGGCTTGTAATAGTGATACGTTTTTAAAAAGAAAAAAAAAAATTAACTTAGGGTAGCCAATATCACATGAGCAGATCACATTATCCCCTTAGCAATTAACTGTCTCTGCCTAATTAGTGTGGGAGCAATCATGTCAATTGCCTATACCTGTAGCCGTCTTTTAGGATAAAGG